GAGAAGCGAGAGACAGCCTTGTCGTTTACAGAGAGTGGAGGAGTAATTAGAGGGGTTGTTTGAAGAGGGAGTTTAACTGATTAACAAAGGAAGAGAGGGAGCGGGGGAGCGCCCTAAAGATGGGAAGGAGAAGGAAGAGAAAGGCATGGAGTCCCCGAGGAGCGAGGAGAGAGAAAGAAGGGCGGATGCAACTTGCATTTCAATGAGGTTCCATCCCTCTCTCCTCTCCTCCCTTGATGACTTTTCATTCTAACGAGTAGGAAAGCCCCACTTTCCATTTCAGATGAAGCCTCAGGAAGAGAGGAAGGAGGGCTATCTGATATTAAACCAGCATGCAGCCACAGGGAATTGGCCTATTGCAGCTCAGCACCATGTTTGTATAGAGACAGGCTGGTTAAATTACTGCATCTTCTCTAATTTAGGAGTGAACTTTGGATTTCACACTTTCACCTCCCTTCTAATTGAGGTCTCTCACTACAAAAAGTACTCCCAAAACACAGCACCCTTAACCATCACTTAATATATGCTGGTGCACACCAAATGATCACATTTTAAAATAAACAAAAATGAAAAATGTTTTGCCCAGTCCTTTTCCGTTTGACACAAATTCAAAAAAACACACAAACCCTGTGATGGTTTCTAACAAAAGCAACAGCCAATGTACCTTCAACTGTCCCTTGAGCTTCACAAGCAGATAAATTTACTGCTACAGTTATTCACCTCATGCTGGCCTTAAAAGTGTGCGGCCAGTACGTGGTGTGTGTAACTGTTATGTGTGTGTCTGACGGCCGTGAGTGGTGAGAAGAAAGGAGGCTATAATCAGAATCTAAACAGGCTCTCAGTCTAAATGATGCGGGCCCTGCCTCTGGGTCTATGGGGACACGCAGGAGAGAGGGATAATTGAAAAAATGACAGAGGAGAAAGCAGGAGGAAGAGAGAGAGGCTGACACAGACCCCCTTCCCCTCCTCCTCTTACTCCTGATCCCCCTCCTCATCCCCCTCTCCTGGTAGGAGCAAACCCCAGCGCTGTTTATCCTTGTCACTGAGCATTACCACCTCACCCTGGAAGGGATGCCTGCCTTTCTGTCTCTCCTCCTGTCACACACACACACACACACACACACACCTAGATGCGCATAACTGGCCTCTGACTTTTAAATCTTTTGTTCACTCCATAATATATTGCCATAACGTATTTCTGTCATCCTTTATAGAAAGATTTAAATCATTGGATGTCACTATTGTCGCAAAAGTCTCCTCTTCTGACTGGACCAATGGCAAAAGTGTGACACATTTAGCAGCAGTGGTAGAAAATTGAGAAATCTCTGCTTATTCATGCACATGGTAACTGCATGACCCTCTTCTGCCAATGCACAGTAGCTGCCAGCAGGCTGGGGGGTAAATGAGAGCCTCCCATTCCAAACTGTCTTTTCTTGGTGCATAAACGCTTTAATGGCCCCTTCTTTTTGGTTCAGGGTTTGTTTATTTACCAGCTATCATCACTATCGCTGGTTCTCTCTTTCAGTTCCTTCAGGTAAACAGTCTGTCTGTGCTCATCATGCCAAGAAATGAAAGGAGAGCATGGCGCTGGGGTGAGGGGGGACAAGGGGGTTAGAATGAAAGAAGCAGAGGAGTGAAGCAGAAAAGCATTTGAGTGAAAAAGAGAAATACAAGGAGCGCCTACTGTGCTGAGAGCGTTGTTTGGAGCTCAGGGCCAGGCCTCCACTGGAAGTAAAAGGGCCCCATTGTGTGTGGTGAGTACCCCTCCTCCAGCTAATCTGCAGCAGGGCCAGGGGCCACATTACTCTGGGGGGAACTGATGAGCGAAGCCAGGTGAGGTTGGGGATGATATAGGCATTTTACTACCTCAAACTTTTTGCTGAGTAATGTTTCTGTCTGAGTCTATGAACAGTGTATGTGTGCAAGCTGATGCCAAAAAAAAAAATCAAAACTGCAAACTCCCAAATGTAATGATTTAGATTTTTTTCAGATAAACTGAAGGATTAAGTGATATTTATGGGTTCTTCAATTTGAATAAACCATTAAAAAAACATAAAATTGTGTGAAAAAAAAGCAATGTTACAAAGAGTTCATGGAAAGTTGGCCTTTTGGAGATATACTATATGGTTTTCATTAGACAGTGATGATATGACAATGATATGACTTCTGAGCTGTCCTATCACCGAGATGGGCTTTGTTTTCTGCTCACGTAGCCACACATACTCATACACATACACCATGCATGTGGACGCGCATAACACTCAGCTCTTCCTGACAGGGGCCAGACAAATGAGAAAAAAAAAAGAGGACAGTGAAAGACCAGTAAGTTCAAGTGGAAAATCCCCCCCCCCCCCCCCCGTCTCTTATTTCCCTTCTTCTCCCCTTCATTCACCCCCTCCCTCCATCTAAACGCCCCAGTGCTTCGATAAAAAATGACAACACATCTTCAAGAAACACAGACACACACACTCGGGGCATTTCATTGGGAAGTGTGAGAGGCCGTTATCGACCATATTTCATTACTGATTTCACTCATGTTTCAAATCACAAAATAAGAGTTTCACACTTCAGTGGCCAGACCCAAACCTCTCCTCTCCATCCTTCCCCTCTGTCTGTCCACCCCTCTGCCCAGAGCCAAACCCATTCCACTGGCTGCTCAACCTCCTCTCGTACACCCTTCACAAACTGTCAGGACCCCATACTACCCCCAACACACACACACACTAACCTACACACGTGCATGCACACTCAGCCCCAATTCCCTCCACATCAAATAAGAGAAACTGCCAACTAAGCACTTTCATTGAGTGGACAAAAGGAGTGCTTTGGGAAAAACACTTTGAAAGGAAATAAAAGAAAACGAGAGAAGGAACCGCTTCAGTACCGCAGACTCTGGGGGACTAAACACTCATCTTTCCACATACTTTTGTTGATTAGTTAAAAGACTTTGAACCCTGCCTCAGAATCCTTATGTTTAGTCGTTTTTCACAAATCTGTAGTGGTTCAAATAAGGCAGCTGGGGAAGGTCAGAAAACAATTTAGCAACATATAGAAAACTGCTGAATTAGGGTTGTAATATGGATTAAAAGTATTTTCATTGAAATGAAATCTCTGCTTTAAGACTGACATGACTCAGTTTCTTCCTCTCGTCTTTCTGGTGGCTCCCTCTCTTTCTCCATCCCACTGTGCTGGTGCCAGCCCTCTCCAGAGAGCAGAGACGCAAGCTAATTAACATATCTCTAATGAGTCTTTTCATTTTTTTCCTAATTAAACGAGCTCCTCAATAATACATGAAAACAGGACACCGCGCTATTCAATTACATACGTATGGGCCACAGCCAAACACGTGCGTTAATCTGTATGTGTGCATGCCAAGTGCCAGTGTGTTAAGTGTGCCAGGCGTGTGTCTGCCAAGTGGGTGTATATGTGTCTGCCTGTGCCCACCCAGTGTATGAGCGTGCGCCAAGTGTGTCCATTGTAGAGAATGTGTGGCAGGTCATGGAGGCATGCTACGTATCATGCTGGGTAATCCGCCAATTGCCACTCTGTCTGCCAACTGTGTGCCCACCAATCCACTCAGTCACACACGTGCCACTACCAATTGAGGTAACTGTGGCCAATTATGTCCAACACCTACTACAAACACACACCTAGTGTGAAATTATCTAAATACTGCAGAGGGTTAAGATATCTTTCAAGTGTAATCTCTTACAAAGAAATTGCATTTTCACTTATTCAGGAAACACTGACTGAGCTTTCATGCTTATTTTCCACAATGCCCACAACTAATTCACACCTATGGGGTAAATAGTTGCTGAATAAGGCCATAACTTATAGTAGTTACTACTACCAACTTTCTAAGACATGATTCAAACCTGTCTAGTTATGCATTATTTTGCATCTCTAACCTTTTTATCAGTCTCCAGTTAGTTTTGTAATATGCAAAAATGTCTTGAGTAAAAATGTAGTTTATATATTAGACATAATACTATAGTTTGTGACAGACAGACAAGACCATAAGCATAACATTATATGTGTAAAATATCCATTAAAAATGGCAATTTTCTACTATTTCGAGACTGTCATTTTAAGTGTTATCATTATCTACCAAAATTACTAAGCATTTATTTCAATCTGTGCAAAATTTGTTTCTAACATCAAATTAAAACGCCTCTTAAGTCTTGAATCATCAAACTCCCAAATAATCACTCACACTGTTCTGATTATTGTCCTTTTCAGCAACTGTAGCTGCAATTTTGTTGCACACAATCAATTTTTCCTGCAATTGCCTGTCTAGAGACTTGAGCTATTGTCGAGTTTCTCCTGAATGTGACACTTGACAGTGACACACACACACACACTTTGGACTGATACCATCACACACAGCCAGCCAAACACAGACCATCTCTGAACAACCAATCAAAAAGCAGATATAATCTCAGAGTTTCTTTTGCTCTCAGCTCAGATCCTCCCTTCTATTATAAATAAAGAAAAGAAGAGAAATATGATGGGGAACGGGTGGGGGGTAGGAGGAGGGGGCATGTCAGCGCAGACCAAGGCTTCTCCAGAGAAGTCAAGACACGAATAGAAGTCTTCCTGCTCTCTCTCCCTGTCTCCCTCCGTCGTTCTCCCTCAGAGAGAAGGGAAAAATCTAATTATCGAGCTCCTAAAGATCTCATTATTGGCTGGGGCTCATTTGCATGTGTGAGAGCAGCCCAGCAGGAACCAACCTGAGGACGGCCATTTTGTGCCTGATGTGAGCCACCGTGTCACTGTACAGTTGCTTACTGCCACCTTTAGAAATGACCAGACTAAATGTCTGACTTCACTCACTCACATCGCTCAGTCACTCTCTGTGGCCCCGACAGATGATTGCTTCAATTACAGCAACTGAATGCAGTCGCTGCAAGTTAGAACTCATCATAACGCTGCTAATTAAAGTAATCAAGAGAGTTCTACACATCACCTTAGTAGTCAGTTTGTTGTGCGGTCTAGTAAACAACTTCAGTGCTGCTGCTACACACAGGTACACAAACAACACTTTGTGCTTTGATGTTTGTGCCTGTGTTTCTGACTGTGGGGATTAAAGTAGAAACACACACACACACACACACACACACAAATGTAAATCCAAGTGTGTGTGAGTTGGCAGGGTGTGTGGGGCCATGTGAGCTGACAGCTCAGACAACAGAGATGTAGCGCGGATGCCCTAGAGAGTACAGGGAGGCTAGCCAGGCCAGACACCAACAAACAAGACAAACAAGACAGAGATGGAGAGAGTAGAGGAGGGGGGGAGTGGCGTGTGTGTGTGTTCAAGGCAGAGAGAGAGGGAAGGCAGGGAAAGGTAATACTCCTTTCATATAGGAGCTGTGAGTGTGAGGCAGGTGAGCTGAACGTGTATTCAACCTGCATTTGACCCCATTCATGTGAAAATGCTGTCCTAGGTTAATCCCTTGTCAGCGTTCGCAGAGACTTGATTGTAGTTCCTTACACCTCATTGCTGAACAACAGATTTACATCACATGTTAACTTTCTGTTTCACTTCCCTCTACTAGCTCACTTTTTCTTATTTCCCCACTATCCACTTCTTCAACTCTTTTTTAAGATGAGTGCGTCTTTAAACGTTAAAAGTTTAAATGTGTGTTGCTCTGAAACAGGTGTATGAGGGCAAGTCAGAGACAGAGGAGACTGTACTGTAGAGTCAGAGTTTGAGTGAACGGCTGAATTAATGCAACACATATATTAATATCAATTCAGGGCACACGTACGCCATTTTGTGTTGATATACATTATAAATGCAATTTCAATGCTTAGAATATTTGATCAATGCAGATCTGATATAAAATAACATTTCTTTTATTCACTTACCTTACCCCTTAAAAGTCACAATGTAATTTCTCCAACTGCCAGTTTCTATCCAAAGCAAATAACGTGATTCTGATTCCAATTCGGGTTTTGATTAAAGTGTAATCCGCAAGATCCCTTTTTTTAAATGTTATTTCATTTTTGACATCTTTGGGTAATAAACAGTCATTAATTCTGTGCCATTTTCGCACTTCCCAGAGTAAGCGCAACAGTAAGAGCAATTAAACTGTGTGGCTGAAATCTTTTTCTTCTGTCTATTGGTGACGTTTGAGTTCCAAGTGCTTTTTTCTTTGTTCTTGTGCTCTGTCATGCAGGCAACTACTGCTCATAAGACTCAGCTCAAACCCCCTCGCCGCTGTTGGAACTATAAAAAGTTTCCTGGAAAAACATGACCCAATATTATGTGTCATTTACGTGTAAATGTTGCAGTATTGTTCTTTATCTAGATGCCTGCACAGTATTTAAGAAAAGTTTCCCATTTTTCCCATGAGCACCTTGCTGAGTTCAGACACTGCAAATGAAATCTGACCTATCTTTTCTTCTGACTCACATACCTCTCTTCCATCTCTTTCTTCATTTCCCATACTGTGATGGCCCAGCTGTCTGTTTATCATGTGGCACGTTAATGAGAAGAGCAGTGCAATAGCCAGGCTGCTTGCTGCTCTAGTAGACCCATGGCCCCACTTTATTGATATGAGACATAGCTACAAATCACACTTCTGCATGTACTCTGCACATAAAAAAAAACGCCAGTAACGATGTGTGATATTTATCAACATGTGCTGATAGTAATAGTGTGTGTCCGCTGGCTGTGTGTGTGTCCTTCTCGAGAGTCTTTCAGTGGGGATCCTGCACTCCAGCTAACCCCACTCTCTCTGCTTACTGTGGAATTCAACTCTGAAAACAGATCAGTACCCCAATCACTACAAAGACCTCATTCACACACACACACACACTAACAATCACACACACATGCACTCGCAGAAAGAGAGAGAGAAGTATGTGCCTATATCACACTGTGTAGTTGACGTGGCAGGTTGATGAAGGCGAAGCTGCAGCAGCCAGGCTCTTAATATTATACAGATTCTGACAAAGCAACACTTGGGTTGTGCATCTGTGTGTGTGCGTGTGTGAGTGTGTGCTCTGACCTGCACAGGGCTCTGTTTGACCTCATTGCTGCCAGGGGAGTTGAGTCCAGAGGCCTGCTGGAGGAGGAACTGTCTGGCTGCCTGAAGCGCCTACGAGGGAAAAATAGAGATGATCAGATGTTCATCATGCATACACAGTCATACAGTGAAATGTTGCAATGCAGTATGAAACAACAACACACAAAATAAATACACCTTTCAAAGTCACACCTCGCTTCGGAATTGAAAGAAAAAGCATTTGTGTACGTTCAGTGTCAAACAACACACACCGATACATTCAAACAATTTTAATTTAGATACAAGAAAAGAACAGAAATACTCAGTCTCACTCTTAGTACCCTATCCCTTTGCCAAGCTGTCAGGTCTGATTTCCTCAACCTAAGAAGTCCACCTGGCACACATACAGCATGGTTGAATGTATATACCTAGGTTTGTGTGTGTGTCTACGTTACTGAATTCATCCCAACTCATTCAAAACTTTCTTTCTCTTTCCAATCTTTGTATTTCTCTGCCCTCCCCCTCTGTTTCAGTCTCTCTGCCACACCCCTTTCCTCCTGCTCTTCCTCCCCCTCTCTTTTCTGAGGAAGGTGCAAAGTGGGTTTTCCACATCCTCTGAGGCAGAAGTGTGTCAGCATATCTTCATGTGTGTCAGTTGCACTGTGTTTGTGTGTGTCAGAGTGATGTAAGGAACCGTTTGCCCTGCTGGGCCCTGGAGAGCTGTGACTAACCACCACCCACCTCTTCGTTCCTCCTCCTCTTCCCATTTCTCCCCTTTCTGCCCTCTGGTATTGTCCATTCAAACCAGTGATACCACCGCTCTCTAGCTCTCTGTCTTCACTTCTTCACTCTGCTCGTGAGTGTTGCCAATTCATCCTTCCGACACCACAACATCAGCCATTCCTCCCACTGTTTCCCCTATTACTGTCTGCCTTGTGTATTAAAAACTGTATAAATGTCTTTCTTTGTGTCATTACATTTCTCTCTTTTCTTTGCTGCGTTGCCTGTTGTAGTGTTAAAGACTCAGGCTCTCCATCATCAAGACAAATCAGCCCCTGAGGGACAGGCATTTTTGCTGGAATGTCTGAACTGCTCCTAAAACAAAACAAGAAAACACCCATCTCAAAACACAAGAGCCGCCTTGCACTTACTGTAAGCGCAGTCACACAAACACACACACACACACACAAGCACAACCTCATGACAGAGGGTTAGAGAGGGGAGACAGCAGGATGCACATTTGCTTCCTCTGACTCAAAGGGGAAAGGTTCCTTAGTAAATATTGATTTATGAAAGTCTGTGTGTGTGTTTGCGCGTGAGCGTGTGTGTGTGTGTGTGTGAGAATGTGTGTGTGTGGACACCACAAATTAACGGCCAGAAAGAGGGATGTTCTTTACCATGGAAGCTCTTACTCAACCATGCGGCACCAGAAATCTGTTCTACTGCATCATTTCACAACTACAGAAAATTGTGAAGCTGTGAAACAGTGCAGCATACACTTACTGTATATTGTCACATATTTAATGAATTGTCAAATTAGAAGCTCTGGTATATTAAGTAATGTCTAATTACAAAAACAGAGTGGGGAGATTAGAGGGAGACAGAAAGAGAGAGTTCTCTGTGCAGTCGGAGTGATGAAAACCATCTGTATCAAGCACACTTGCTACTTTTGCTGAGACCGCAATTAAAACACACACACACACACACACACGGACTTGGCTTTAGACGTGCCTACACACACACACACACACACACATACATTTTAACACTTTAACAAAAAATCTTGGGAACCCCCTCCCATTTACTGGTTTGACCTCAGCATTAAAGCAGGCACAGACATACACACACATACAAAAAAAACCTAAAAAAACACAACCGCCCAGTTTGTTGGCATGTGGTGTGAATTACTCCTTGAACACCCTGTCTGCTCGAGAGTGAGTGTGTGTGTTTGTCTGTGTGTGCGAATGCGTGTGTGTTGGCAGGAGTTGGGGAGGCATGTCTGGCAACAATAAGGGACAATTCCACCCAAATTACCACCCTGATTACCACTATATTAAAGAGCCATTTATGGCTTTCATAAACGCTACAACCAAGCAGAGGTGATGCCTGTCTCCTCTCCTATGCCTGTATTCCTGGATGTGGGTGTATGTGAGAGACAAGAACTACTAACAAAGCATGTGATTCTCTGGATATTTAAACTAAGTCTGTCCTCTTCCAAGGTTTATTCAAGTGTGCTACAGTTGAAATTAGATAGTGTAAGGCTAAAGCTATTTTAAAGTGTACGTTTACACCATAACCTCTAGAAAAAAAACGATTAATTGTTGGCTGGTGACTGTTAACATCACAATTCAGTGTATTCTGAATGTGTATCTTTCATACGTTGAAAGTATATACAACATTACTTAAAGTTTTTTCTAAAAGTTATGTTCAATGCATTAAATTGTGTTTAACTGTTATGTATTACATCATATTACATGGAAAAATTAATTTAACCACAGAATATTATAAAAGTATGACATATGATTCTAATTAAAGTCCATATGTGACAATATTGAATTATTGCCCAGCAATAAGACTTAGACACTATTTGTAATTAGTGCGTACTAAATTGCAGGTAACCATAGCAACAGTGCTTCTATTTTACTTTACAATATCAGTTAACTTATTGGTGAAACTAACTTAAACAGACTACAAACAAACGTTAAAATGTGGATGGCCATTATAGCAATATAATACACTAAGAAGAGTTCCATTAGAAAATAATGGACTCAGCTAAGGAAGTCTTCAGCTTCACCATATGCTTTATTTTCTTCCATCAGGACATTTTCTTTGCACTGTCACTTGTAAACCTGACATTGTTTATTACATTAACATCTGTTCTATTAAACAATTTAAAATGGGTTTATTAATACAAAACACCTCATATGTGTTTTGTATTAATAAACCCATT